TGTTAGTCCTGTTTGTGCCACACTGGAAAAAAAAGCTCCTCATAAGTCATAACTATGATATACCATCTCAAAATTAAGACTCGCATCTCGTAATGCAAAAAATCTGTACCTCATACTAAGTAATGTTAAATAATAAAATGCTAAGTCATGTTTTGAGATAGTATTTCATATTTCATAAGTAATAATTAAAAGAAAGTGGGTCATAAGGAGACAGTTTCCATCAGTATGACTAAGAACAGATTTTCAACTGCGCGGTCCTGTTTTCAGTAGGCTGCAGGTCTTTATAAAAGGAAAGTCAACATTTTTGTTACGTCAGCCTTATCAGTGGTCAGTGGTGGAATAAATGACTGAATAATTTTAATAAGACATTGTTTTATTTTCATTAGGTGGGTTTCTCAGCTGAAGCTACATTATTTAAGTCTTTTAAGCAGCTTCTAAGTTGTTTCTTTTTTACCATTGTACCAGAAATATGCATCTATACTCATCAACATTCATTTCAAACTTAGTTAATAGATAATGAAATTAGAAATGGTTAATTGGCATTTTAGAGTAACATGTTTTCAGTTTGACCTTTGGTTGAAGGCAACAAAACCTTAACCACAGAAAAGATCCAATTGGATTAATGCAAACAGTGCTCCTGAAGGCCTAATTTATGGGGGAAAGCTATTGTTTTTAGTTGGAATAATGTAACTTATACAGCTGCAAATGTTGAAAATAAATGCATTTTATCAACTTTAAACCTTTTTAGGGGAAGTGTGGCTTATGTTTTTATCTAAAGATGTAATGTTTGTACTTGTTTATTTTAAAGTGACCCAAAGATATCCTGGTTCATGTAACTTTTTGTTATCCAAGACTAAATCATTTATTTTAAAATGCATGCTGCATGTAAAGTATTTGCACTGCATAATTTGTGTTCTCTGAAGGTGAAAAAAGAAGAGGTTGTTTCCTCAAAGAATGCATTGTTCAAATCATTTTCATATTGATGCCAATCAGTAGCCTCATGTTTGCTGAAATACAGCCTAAAAATAGTTTTTTTCCTTGAATAACCTTAGTAAAATCTGGATTTGTTCGAGTGATGAACAAATGCTGCAAAATTAATCAAGAGCCACAGAATATTATTTACTTCTCGACTTGCTTGATTTCATTTCTTACACTTTTTTGTTTTTCTCCTTTGTTATGCTTTTGTCCTTTCTAAATAAACATCTGCTTTGGCTTTCAGTCACTACTTCTGCTTCGGTGCGCCCAGCAATCATGAACAAAATGCATGTAAAACCAGATCCACATGCTGGAATTCTTAGAAAAAAAAACAGTATTTATTTGCTTTAGGTTGATACATTTAAATAAATGATACAGAGATGTTTACATATTTGATGAAAATAAATACAAATAAAATTACAAAAATACTAAGTTCCACTTTAAAATGGTAAATTATCCATCATCTATACCCGCTTCTACCTTTCAGGGTGACGGGGGTCACTGGTGCTCATACGTATCCAGCAGTCACTGTGCGAGGGGCGGGGTACAGCCTGGACAAGTCGCGTGTCCATCCCAGGGACACTTAGACAACCGTCCACTCTCTCACCYACAGGGACACTTTAGAGTTACCAATTAAACTAACAGTCATGTTTTTGGCCCGTGGGAGGAGTACCGGGAGAAAACCCACACATGCACAGAGAGAACATGCAAACTCTATACAGAAAGGTCCCAGGCCGGGATTTGATCCAGCGACTTTCTTGCTGAGAAGCAACAGCTCTACCAACGGAGCCRCCGTTAAATYGTTATGTCTTGCAGTTGGTCTGTTTAGTTGCTCTTTCTTGATGCTTTATGATGTTTTCTGCTGGAAGACAAAAGATAAAATCTAATTCACATGTTTAATCTTGCATGGGTGTTGGCGTTATTCAGCCAGTTGCAAAGAAAATATCTTACCTGTCTACAAACACCATACTCCGTATGACCCACCGCTTTGCTGGATCCCCACAGAACGTTTTGCCGTTCACCATCTTGAAGCTGTTTTCAAAAACCAAAAATACTTTCATTTGACAGTGCAACAATTTTAGCATGTTAAAATGCTTCATAAAAAGGTTGAGTTGAGTTTCTTTTCCTCTTTTTTCTTACATTATTGCCCTCAAGTTGCAGCGGTTTGTGTCTTCTTGTACTTTGTAGCTCTTCAGAAATTTATGCGGGATTCGATGTCCCTGATATGTTACGCAGCAAGCACCCTTAAAACCTTGACAAAATAAAAATCGCAAACATTTTAGAGCAAAATAGAAACCTGCAAACAGGTAATGGCTCAGAGCATCAAATTAAAAAAAATATTATTTATAAACACATAATTGTTTAACGAAGTTTTATAAGTAAAAGCTACACTTACGGGTTTCAGCGAGGGTGATCAGCAGCAGCAGAACACAAACACACAAAACCAGCTTCCTCATCTTCCTCGTGAGTCAATAAAAGCTCTGCTGGAAAAAAAGCCTACTACAATCCGTCTTTGGCTTCAATATAAACCCTTTGAAGAGGGGAGGTGTCCAACCGCATCACAAGAAGTTGGAAAGAACGATAATTTGATTTGCAGTTTGGGTCAAGCGGGAAATTTTKTGTCTGTACATTTTACCCTCATTGTGGTTTTATCATCCCGCCCTCTGCACCTCTGGAATGAAGACTAACACGATCCTGCTAATGAGTCAATACCTGCACAGTGCAGTATATTAGGGTTAAAAGAGGACATACACACAACATTTTTTTTAATTATCTATACAAAAAAATTCATTTCATTTCAAGCTATTTTTAGAGTGCAGCGTTTTGTAATCGTGAAATGTGCTGAATGTGAAAAATAAAATAAATAATTATGATCACTGTTTTCAAACCGTGTAAGATGTCAAATATATTCCACTTCAAATCATCTATGAAATTTAATTTTAGTTGTGCATCTTACCTTAAAAAAATCACTGTAACAAAATAAGTGTTTTGCAGCAATTTGTTGAAAACAAATGGACTGTAATGCCACTGTTGCATGTGGAGAATCAAAGACCCAGCATTCCTTGAATGAATGCGTATCACCCGCTGGCTTTTTTGCCAGCCCACATTGCAAAATCTGTCCGGTCCACATCGGGCCCACACAATGCACTAACATTTGGCTACAGATGCCACAAAGAATGATGACCCTTTGGTGGCCCAGATGTGGTTTGCCAGAGGTGGTCGATGCTTGGGCCAACACTGCATAAACCAAACCTTTGGACCAGTTGTGGCATTCCATCATTTAAACAGTAATAGCCGAACCTGGGGCCTGTTGCACAAAATTTGGATAAGTTATAAAGCCGGGACTTTTGTGTAACCCTGGATGAATTAATCCTTGATTTGTTTGCACAAAAGAAAAGGCACATTTTTTTCTACTATAAAAAGTCCTCTGAAACTAACATGGTACCAACGAGGTTTCTCTCCACTGGAGAGAAGTGGGAAGCACGCTTCTTGCTGATCAGGAAATCTGTGATCCATGAAATGTGTCTAACAGCCAAACCATGAACCTGTATTCACCCAAGATGATTTACAGCTGGTATGAATGAGCCGCCCTGATTAAATGTGGCTTGACAATTAAGCAACTGATTACACCTACAGTGGTTTGCAAAAGTATTCATACCCCTTGAACTTTTCCATATTTTGTCACATTACAACCACAAA